CGGCCGGTGCTGGTGATCACATCTTTGTTGTTATTCTTCTGAGTCATCTGGATGGCCGTCTTCTGCCCTCGTGCACTGGCATCCCTTTACCTCACCTCCGTTCCCTGGAGACTTTCTTCCCAGATGCCCTCATCCACACCCGTTTGCACCCAGGCCTTCCACACCTCCAATCTGTGCGGTGCAAATAATTAATATGGCCCTTCTAGCCAACCTTTTTATTTTTTGTCCTTTTAATAGTATTTTTAGCCCCCCCCCCACACACACACACAAAAGACCCTAAAAAATGGATTAACATGGTGGCTGCAACAATGAACTCAAACATAACCACCCAGGACCCACCGGGGCAGTGTGGGGTCATTATGAGTTGGAACTGACTGACTCAACAGCACCCAACAACAAAAGCCATAGACTTTGTGACTCACCAAACGACTGGTGATCCCATGTAAATGAGGTGCTTGCGGTCCCCAAGGGGCTTGGATAGCTGGCTAATAATGTAAATACAGTCTACTGTACTTTGGTGGGGGGTGGAAACATGTAAATAAGATGTACAGAATACTAACGAGGAGATTGGTCAGTTTTGCCATCACATTAGGCTTAAAATGAGCCATCCCACAGGTGAGGCTGGGAGGCCAAAGGCCAGCGAGAGCCATTAGGCACAGCTGAGAAGCTGTCCTACTTAACTAAACAACTGTATCCCGAGTTGTTTCTGATCCTGAAGTGTAACCTGCTACTTCCCTAGTATCTCTCATAATCATGGATGTTGTCTGTGAGTTTTGTGTGACCACTGCCATGGGTTATTGAACCGAACAGAGAAGTAGAGTGCCATGGGACGGACAACTGCTGTCCGACCTCCTATATAAATCAGCCTCGGGCAGCAGATACTGATACCGATTCTCCATCCCCTTTGTGAAGGATACTGCCCCTCAAGCCATTTTTTTAAGGTAACACTTTCTTTTTAAGGTTAACAATTTTTGTTGTAAATTAGGTAGGGGCTTACATTTCAGGTCAGCTTTGTATTCAACAGTTTAAACTACTACTCACAGCCCCCAATAGTTTACCCTTCACCCATTCCTTGATTTCTCTTCTTATCTTCCTTTAGTAGACTATTATTATTTTCCATTTCACCCAAGTTAACACCTATCAACAGTCTAGCCCATTGAATTAACTTCCCTGGACCTCCCCTGCACACCATTTTTATACTAACACATGACATGAATTACCGTGGACTTCCCTGCAAAGGGTGCGTTTGTTTGTATATTTTTGTTGCTGTTTAGCTGTAATGAATGATGATTTCTTTTCCAGGGATAAGTGAGGCATCTAGAGACCCAGCCCAGAGACACATCTACATTTTAGCATTCAGATTTTTAGATGCACGTGGATAATAAAGAATGGATGACTTTTTAAAGCCATGATTTTCATGATCACTAGAATTCCACAGATGGGTTTGAGAAAAACAGGTCTCAAATTCTGGAGACCTCAAACGCTCCCTTCCCTTCACACTAAGCCCTGGACTCCATGTCACTTTGGTGTCTTGGTGGTGGTCTCACGCCCCTCCTCTAGTCCACACACACCTACTACAACCCCACCCAGGCTCAAG